GGGGGGGGGGGGGGGGGGGGCAGGGGCAGGATTCCCCTACCTTAACTAAATAGCTTCCAGGCCCACATGGCTGGGCAGGAAGGGGCTCTTCTCCAGCTGCAGAGGAAATCTTAACCCTACTGCCCACAACCCCCAGAGCCCTGTATTCCATTGCACCAGTCTGCTCCCCTTTCCTCTCCAGCCCCATCTGTACCCTGGGAACAGCTTCTAGGGCAGATGAGTGTGTGTCCACAGCTCTACCCTGTGCTGTTCCTATTCTCTTCCCCTGCCTGTTACCCTGCCATATTGTCTGGAGCAGCTCTTGAGAGGCTGGAGCCTGGCTCCTTCTCTGGTGCAGGGGTCCCATTCAAGATACATGTGATGGGGACAGGGTTTATTGAGTTGTTCAGGGATGGGGAAGTCCCTGGGGGTGACTCTGCAGTGCCAGACAGTGAAGGAGGGGGAGCCTTAGCCACAGCCCCACTCCAGGCTTACCAAAATGAGCATGGGGGAGAGCTACTGACATTGTGGACATATGGGTGCAGGGCTGGCACATAAGCCCCTGGCCCTGCAGAGCAGCGCTGCCTCACTCCCAGCCACAGCCAGATGATGGGTGGCTGTCCCCAGGCCATTGGCAGGGCTCCCCATCTTTCCCCACTCCAGCTCCCACTCCTTAGAGCCTGGACTGTTACCCAGGTGCCCCCCCCCACCCCTCATCCAGCTGCAGCTGAAATCCCTCCAAGCTGGATGGAGTTTTTCCAGTAGAAAACAATGTTCCTGATTGGAGACAAAAGGCTTTTCCCAGTGAATCCGGTGCTTGGTGCCATGGGGAAGGGATGTCCAGCCCAGAGCCAGGCCATTTTGGGAAGGGGAAGGGAGGGAAGACTCAGGCTCTGCATGTCTGATACAGAGGGGCCTCATCATTCCCAGCATGCTTGTGATAGAACCACAGTCCCAGCATGAAGCTTCGCCTGAGGTTTGAGGCTATGGGGTTCTGCCTGTGTGCAGGGCAGACCTCAGTCTATCTTGTTCCAGCAGAGTCACGTCCTGGCTTGTGTTGTGGCATCTCTGGGTGGCAAGGTCACCCCAGGGTGCTCCCTCAGTACGGCTAATGACACGAAGCCAAAGTGTCAAGCAGGGACAGAGGCACTGGGAGGATGCCACAGGCACCCATGCAGGGTACAGCCAGGCAGCCCAGGGGGAGGGTGCCGGCCCCATGGCAGAGATGTAAGATTCATCTGAGCCCGTGCATTGCTATGACTGACAGTGCCTGGGAAGGGTGCCATGGGACTGGAAAGGGAGCTGTGGCACAGGCAAGCAATAGTGCCCCAGAGCTCACATCACAAGCGGGGAGATGCTGTCCCCAGATCTCCTCATTGTACATACATGGACAACCCCAGCCCCTAGTCTACATCATGGGTAAGGTGGGTGTTAGGTCCTTGTGTGGTCACCCCATCCTGCGTGTCACCGTGACATTGCTGCCCTCCACACCACGCGCCCCAGTGATGTCATGCTCCACCACTGCAGCAGCATCCCATTTTGGGCCGCAGTCACCTCCAGCACCTCTACGACATTTCTTGACATCATGCAGCAAGGGCCTCACTGCACCCCAAAGCAGTGACAACATGGTGACATCACAGCACCTCATGCCACCATGCTTCACATGCCCCAGTAACATCATGTTCTCATTCCTAGCAGTCCCAGGCTGTCACAGCTGTACCTGCTAGGGCAGAGGACAGGCAGGAGATGTCCCGCAGACCCAGCAGATCGCTCTTCTACAGCAGCTGGGCTGCCCAGATTACCAGCAGTGCCCCTCCACAGCTCCTCAGTTCCAAGCAGCCCAGACCCTGCAGTGCCTCTGCTCCAGCCAAAGCCCATGAGCCTGGGTCCTGCTGCGATGTCTGCTCGCTGCTGCGAGCCTGGCCCTCCTATGCAGGACTCCTCAGCTGGACCTGGCAGGCTGGGGCTCAGCCAGCAGGAGCTAATGCAGTGTGGAGATGAGCAGTCACCTTAGCCTCTGAGCTCACCCCAAAGGGACACCAGGTCCTTGGGGGGCTCAGGCCCACCAGCACACAACCAGCCCCTTCCCACACAGGCAGGTACACGGCTGGACCCCTCTGCCCACCGACCCCTGCTCCTCCATGGGCTTGGCCACGACCAAGCACAAGCGCCGCTACAAAGAGGGGCTGTCCCTCGCTGCTCACAGTCCTGCTGTCCCTGCCAGCGCTCCCTAGTCCCAGCACACACCCCCCATCGCCCTACAGCCTCTTGAGCACGGTCCTCCCTAGCCCAGCATCCTTCCATCCCCATCCCATGCTTCTTCCCGCTCCCTCCCGGCTCACTACCCCGCATCCCGTCCCCATCACGGGATGCTACGTGCCCGCGGTTCCGCTCCGCCCTCCACCAACTTCTCCCCGGGCCGGTGACCGTGCCGGAGTTGAGAGCCGCCCCTCCCCGCTCCGGAGTCCCCGGGAAACTTCGCGGAGCAGCAAAACCACACCGCTACTC